AATAATTGTCTAGGTTCAATCAATAACATACCAGTTGTCAGTCTTTTACCTCAGTGGGTTGTATGAGTACAGCCAAGTGGTGCAAGAAGTTATTAACTCTTTAACCTGGGTTTTATGAAAAAAAAACCCTTATAAAAATTATAAGATGTATTGTAATATCTTTTTTTCTCCAACTCTGTAAGAAAAGGAACTGCGGATCATGTAGTTTAACTTCCCACTAGGTGGCAACAGTCAGCTTAGGCTTCCCAATTTACATCAGGACTCTTCATACAAAACGTTGCACTTTTCATCGATTTTAGTTAAATTCCTTACCTTACCGATAGACCCAGGGATCATATAATGTAGGCTTTGTCTTGGATGAAAAATATAAAGATAAATGTCCACTTTATCTATAATTTTAGGAAACTTCATTTTTTTGTCCATGGAGTTTGATGGACCATACTTAAGTCTGTGATAAATATCCTAAACTTGTTATATAATCTGATTCACATACTTTTAAGATAATGGGTGGTTTTTTAGTTTCTTTCCCTTTGACATAATGGCTTAGGCACTGTAGAACAGGGGTATCAAAGTCACGTCATCACAGCAGTCATGTGATGTATTGGGACTTTTTCCCCTTCGCTAAACCAGATGTGGGCATGGCCTGCGGGCCTGGACTTTGACAGCCCTGCTGTAGAAAGTCAGCACTCTCCCAGAGAATGAAATATTTTGGGGAATATTAAAAAGGCAGGATAGAATATTTCCCCTAAAGCAGAAATTGGGAAAAATCTTAAAGGAAGCAGAAACCACCCCCAGTCTCCCTGCTCCAAGCAGAAACTGAGACGGGCAGCTTTTAGAAATGCAGATTTGGTAATCCATTCAGAAAGGGTCAGACAGATACTCCAGATAAACAATACAATTAGGTAAGCGAAGAGTTGACAAGATTAGCTCAGACAAACAACTAGGATTTACACTTACCTTCTGCCCAAAGAGCCAGCCATGACCCCATAGGAATCTGACAATAGCCATTAGAATATTAAAGGACATATTCTTGCACAGGAACAGGAATTTCAAATACAAAGGCCTACCCATTCTCAACTCCATTTTGTCAGCTGTCCCAGAACTGCACGCTGTGTGTGTGTGTTGGCTCTGCTCATCAATAAGCGGAATCTTTCTTTCCAATCAGCCTCCCTTTTATTCCTGGCTTGGAACTGGATCTGGATTTTCTTTCCAACAACACTAAGTGACTTAGGTCATCTACAGTGGTGGATGCCTTTGTTCATCTGTCTTCTGGTTCTGAAATGTTAATAATTTGAAGAAGCAATGGACCACCTATTCAGCTGCTGCAAGAAGACCACAAAAAAATGGCACAATAAAGTAGTAACAATTGGAACATTGGAATATCTGCAAGTTATACCATTTGCCTGCAAGCAAGAGCTGGTAGCACTACAAAATAGACTTAAGTTAATAAAAAATGGAAAAAAAAACTAAAAAGCCTCTAGGATTTTAAAATTGAACAGATAAGCACTAGCAATCCAAACTCATCAATTGTTGATTAGAAAGATGTTGCAGTATTTGTAGACACCAGAGAAAGAATTGGAGAAACTTCACAAAACACAAAGATCTGCAAATAGAAGAAAGTCTGTAGCAAAAGAAAGCAAAGTTGATAACAATATTAATATGTGTCTTGGGTACAATCCCAAAACAATTGGAGCACCACTTGAACACTATCGGCATTGACAAAATCACCACCAGTCAATTGCAAAAGGCAGCTTTATTTGGAACAGCTTGCATCCTGCAACAATATCTTTAATACCATCAAACAACATCTGCCTATCTCACATCCTGGGAAAGAACTTGAAAAGGTTAAAATGCTACATCCACTTTAAAAAACTGGCTGGCTGTGTGACCAACCATAAATAATAATAAAAAAATTATTTTGGGTAACGAGTGACTCAAAATAATCTATGAACCATTAGCTGAATTTGTCATCTTGCTTCCAAAACAAGGTCCAATAATTCCAAAATATGCATAACTTTGCATAACATTCATACATCTGATGTCATCTTTATTTTCTAAATGTTTCTGGATACTCCCTTGAAAGAGTTACTGGATATCCAGGAAAAAATGGAAGGCTAATTGCCAGTGTCCAATGGCAGAAAAGGCTCTGGGAAGGGCTGAGAACATTAAATAAAACAATAATAAAATAATTCTTATGTTCTAGAGTTTACTGGCACAGCTCTATCACTTGAAATGCCATACTGGTTTTAGCAGAGATTCTGGTGATAGTAGTTTGAAAACAGTGTGTTTCAGATCATGCTTAACCATTCAAAGTTTTTTCATGATGAAAAGAACTAAACAGAGGTTTCCACTGCTATTTAGACATCATGTCCTATTTAGATGCAGAGGTTAGCAAAAACCACTGTTAATGATAAAGTGCTTTTATTTTTAGAAACTTGTAATTTATTGCATACTGAAGAAACTCCCCTATATTTTTCTTAACACTATAGTTCTGTGATTCAGTTTAAATATAACCAGGAGAGCCTTCTACTTAGCAACCACAAAACAAGCTGTCGGAGAGTTCTGTCCAGAGCAAATTGTATCATACAATTAAGCAGTCATCAGGGAAAGCCTGCATAAGATTACTTAACACTTTCAAATAAAAAGACTGTGTTGGAAAGCACAAACTCAACAGCTTTCCTCTTATTGTTCATATTTTACGGTTTTAGATTTTCCTCCCCTAATTTTCTATAGTTTGATGGTTTGCTTCACTGTTCTGTCACTTATAACCTGGTCATCTTGTATTTGGACTACTGCAATACACTCTACATGGGGTGGCCCATATAACATAGCTGTTGTAGGAGTTGCATTGCAGAGTCCTAGATCTTTGTCAATTATTAGCTTTGGTTTTGCAGAGACATCTTCAGTTTGCCATACCTCTTCTGGAAGCCTCTCAACTGTGATGGCACTTATGATCCTACTTCAGCTTACATTTGCTTTAAAGGTCTGTGAAAGTTGGAAACACAAGGACTGGTTGCAAAGTTTTTTTTTTCCATTACTGTCATAACTGAACAGTCACTAAGTGAGGCAGTTGCTAATCGAGGTTTACCTGTATTCGATAGGAATCAATTAGTGCAGATCCATGAAGTTATAGTACCCTTTGCTATACACTGCTCAAAAAAATAAAGGGAACACTTAAACAGCACAATGTAACTCCAAGTCAATCACACTTCTGGGAAATCAAACTGTCCACTTAGGTAGCAACACTGATTGACAATCAATTTCACATGCTGTTGTGCAAATGGAATAGACAACAGGTGGAAAGCATAGGCAGTTAGCAAGACATCCCCAATAAAGGAGTGGTTCTGCAGGTGGTGACCACAGACCACTTCTCAGTTCCTATGCTTTCTGGATGATGGTTTGGTCACTTTTGAATGCTGGCGGTGCTTTCACTCTAGTGATAGCATGAGATGGAGTCTACAACCCACACAAGTGGCTCAGGTAGTGCAGCTCATCCAGGATGGCACATTAATGTGAGCTGTGGCAAGGTTTGCTGTCTCTGTCAGCGTAGTGTCCAGAGCATGGAGGCGCTACTAGGAGACAGGCCAGTACATCAGGAGATGTGGAGGAGGCCGTAGGAGGGCAACAACCCAGCATCAGGACCGCTACCTCCGCCTTTGTGCAAGGAGGGATAGGAGGAGCACTGCCAGAGCCCTGCAAAATGACCTCCAGTGGACCACAAATGTGCATGTGGCTGCTCAAACGGTCAGAAACAGACTCCATGAGGGTGGTATGAGGGCCCAACGTCCACAGGTGGGGGTTGTGCTTATAGCCCAACACCGTGCAGGACGTTTGGCATTTGCCAGAGAACACCAAGATTGGCAAATTCGCCACTTGTGCCCTGTGCTCTTCACAGATGAAAGCAGGTTCACACTGAGCACGTGACAGACGTGACAGGGTAGAGAATGTTCTGCTGCCTGCAACATCCTCCAGCATGACCGGTTTGGCAGTGAGTCAGTAATGGTGTGGGGTGGCATTTCTTTAGGGGGCCGCACAGCCCTCCATGTGCTCCCCAGAGGTAGCCTGACTGCCATTAGGTACCGAGATGAGATCCTCAGACCCCTTGAGACTATATGCTGGTGCGGTTGGCCCTGGGTTCCTCCGAATGCACGACAATGCTAGACCTCATGTGGCTGGAATGTGTCAGCAGTTCCTGCAAGACGACAGCATTGATGCTATGGACTGGCCTGCCCGTTCCCCAGACCTGAATCCAATTGAGCACATCTGGGACATCATGTCTCGCTCCATCCACCAATGCCACGTTGCACCAGTGTCCAGGAGTTGGGGGATGCTTTAGTCCAGGTGTGAGAGGAGATCCCTCAGGAGACCATCCGCCACCTCATCAGGAGCATGCCCAGGCATTGTAGGGAGGTCATACAGGCGAGTGGAGGCCACACACACTACTGAGCCTCATTTTGACTTGTTTTAAGGACATTACATCAAAGTTGGATCAGCCTGTAGTGTTTTTTTCCACTTTGAGTGTAACTCCAAATCCAGACCTCCATGGGTTGCTAAATTTGATTTCCATTGATAATTTTTGTGTGATTTTGTTGTCAGCACATTCAACTATGTAATGAACAAAGTCTTTAATAAGAACATTTCATTCATTCAGATCTAGGATGTCTTATTTTTTTGTTCTTTATTTTTTTTGAGCAGTGTATCAATCACCATCATATGAATAAAAATCTTGCTGATACTTTAGATATGCATATATTATTCATGACTTATTATTAAAGATATTGAAGGTTGAAAAAGATTCAGAAGTCTAAATATTCAATGGAAATGATGAAAAATGACGAGAACACACATCCCTTTCCCAGTGAAAGATTTGCTCCTCTACTGGAAACTGTTTCTTTGATTAAAATTATCCAATTTTTTTCTAAAAAAGCTACCGAGATAATTGGACTAAAAGATATAAATAAATGGACACGACCATGAATATATGACATACCAGTAATTGAAATTTTTAACAAACTCAAGTTTATTGACCAAGGAATTACATCTATAATACTTTTTGAATATGAAGTTATTCTTCAAAACTCCAACAAAACACTTTAAAAACACCAGTTGCTTGACTTGTACTATGGATTCATCTCAAAGTCTCAACTATTAACTTTCCCCAATAATGAGTTATATTTTATGCAAGTAAAATCTGTAATGTTTTAGGTATAATTCTGAATAAAGTCCATGGATATTTACAAAAGGTCAACACTGTATCAAAAGTTTAAAAAAAGAATTAAAAAAGAATTGCATATGAAGAACTATCCCAAGATGAAAATGCAGTAAATAAGAATAGTAAAGCAAATTATTAGTTTCTGAAGTTAAAATATGGCAGCTTTATTGATCTGCTTAGCTTTGAAAATAGGCACTTCTTTATCATCGTGGTTGGTTTCCATTTATCCGAAATATTAAATGGAAGCAGCTGTTGTAATTAATGTAATTCACAAAAAATAAAACATGACAGCATCAGCCTACTAATTAATTCTATGGTAACTTTTTCAGCACCTGGAAATTGAGCTTCCACAGATAAATTTAAAAAAAGCAGTAATGCCCTAATTCTTAAATTTACAATTGCAATGTAATTCTAAACATGTTTAATCTGAATCTAGTTTTGGTATGTTTCATAGTTCTTACTTCCTGATAAAGAAGCATGTTTGGACTGGAATCTCCAAATGAAATTTGATAGGCATAGGAAAAAACTCTTATGCCAAATTAGGAATTGGAAATGAAAAATGTTTATGACCACTGAAGATACAGTTCAAACTATGATAATAAAATTACTTTGAATTAAATTGTTTTTTCCTAATTTATCTATTGAATTTAAATATGAGTGCATCAAAATACATTTATGAAACCAAAGAGATGCAGGAAAGATAAAGAAAAACAAATCCACAGACCTACTAAAAATACTTTTTAACAGAATTCTTATTTTGTTGTCCACTATTCCTAACCGAATACTTTGATAAATGCATCTAGTCCCTCAGTGGCTCATAATAGTTAATTAATTGCACCAACATTTACAGTGTTGCACATCCCAGTCAAATTTTTAGGTTCCATGTCGTCACCCAATGATTCATAAAAGGTGCTTTTCATTAATATAAATAAATATTTTATACCCACAAATCTTTCTCATTCACAATCCAGATTTGTAATAATTTACTGAGATCTGTTACAGAATAAAAACCTTCTTGACCTCATACTCTTCCCACCAAATATGACATCTCATCTAGTGAAGTGTTAAACTTTTTTTCATACATCTAAATAAAAGGGTTCAAGTGTATTACTTATTATGGAATACCAAACTCAAGGTCCAGCTGACTTGCCACATTGAACTAGATGTGTTTTTTTTCAGTGTCCTTTAAATCCAGATAATAAAAAAAATATTTTAAAAAATCTGTCTCAAAATGTAACTGTTACATGAGAGAAGCATTGTCCTAACCATCAATGTTAGGAAAATGATTATACAAATGACTTTGTGATTTATTAAATCAATGGGAGTTATAACAGAAGTAGTTTCAAACGTAGAATCCTCTGGTTGGGCAGCACAAAGGTGCCAGAAGAGTCCACAGGTAGAAAAGGACACACGCCCAGCAAGAAGCCATTTTAATCCAGAAAATGGACCAGGTCCCAACGAAGAATTTTTCAATTGCAGCATTTTCATAACTACAATGAAAGGAAATGGAGGTTACCTAATTTGCTGTTACACAAATCAATTCTAGGAGGATGATGTATTGGTGCAATTTTAGAAGGACTTATTTCAAAGAAACTGTACTGAACTTCCCTGGATCCTGTTTCCTTTAAAAAATGTGTGTATATTCAAACACGTTCAGTGCTACTTTCTCCCAGATAACCCATGCGTAAGATTCTGCTTTCAAGTAACTTGTGCAGACCAGACATCATGAATTTTTATTACATTTCTTGTAAACATGTGATAAGAAATGTGATTTTAATAAACCATTTCAGATTACAGTTCTGTAAATGCCAGCTATTATCCATTATTGTTGATTTGCAGTGCAACAATTAAATCTAAAACATTTTCTTTTGAAATTTCTATTTGATGTATCCTGTTTCCAGAAATAGAAAGGTGGATTTGTGCATTTAAAGTATCTAACTGCATCATCTCAGTAATTTTTATATAACTGGCCAGAATTATTTACCTGATTTTACAGGGAATGAGGCTCATGCTGATGGTATAATGAGCTGTCTAAAACCACCTAATAGTTTGTGTGAAAGGTGAGATTTAATTCAGAAGTTTCTGTTACCCTAAGCATCACCTGGCAAAGGACTAGATTTCTTGAGGGACTATCTTCTTCCAAGAACATCTGGCTACTCACGTGCTCCCGTAGCATGCATTTTTCATGTTCTGTCATCTTATGGGACCTAGTCTGATCTCCCTCCTCCTCCCCTGAGCCCCAACTTTTCTCACCTTTAGAAAACTGTCAAGGCCTGACTCTTCTCTCAGGCATTAGGGGGTCAGTGGAGTGGAAGTCACCTTGTGGTTTTGTTATGTGCACAGTTGCCATTTTATATTTAGTGTTTTGTATATTAATACGGTCAGGAGTGTAATTTCATTTCTACCCCATTAGGTTCCATGCAGTCCTCCCAAATTCTTCTCCAGGAGGCTAGACTGCCTTGGAGCCATTATGAAAGGGCTGACTAGAGAAAGAGGACCAGAGGGGTTCCGACAACGTAACATCAAACTATACATTTTTTTTGAGGGACTTACTGGAACCAATGGGTAACAGTCATCATCACGTAAAGAGACGCCAAGAAGAATACAAAGTGGAAATAAGCATAGCTGTACACTGTTCCTTTCTTTTCATCATAAATTACTCTCTGACCGCCTTTTCCCCCAATATGCTCTTCAACCTCAGCTGGGTAAAACAAACATAAAGAGAAATATGATATACTTTAGATCTAAATCAGTAACATATACTCAGAATAAAGTTAACAATGCAAAATAACCCAGTGTTGAGTTTGAAACAGCTGTGGTAAGCCTGGAATGGCCCTGCGACAGCTGTTTTAACTTCAAAACACTTCTGAAAAAAATTGATGCAGCCATTTTGCATTTGATCAGGGTCATTTCAATTCTGAAACATTTTGGACACCCATACCCCACACACTTACCTGAGAAAAATCCCTATCGGATTACTTTCGAGTTAAGCCAAGCTAGGATTGTCTTGACTGAAACTCAACTAAAAAGATTGGGAAGGGGGGGGCGGGGAATCCATTCCTAAAGTGGTATGCTAAAACTAACCATATTTAATTAGTCTCCTTTCATATTGATCTTCCTTTAAGAGTATTTTTGCTTAAAGTGATAGTTGCTGGTCTTTGGTCAAGGTATACAGTCATTGAGAGCTGAAGTTTAAGACTCCTGACCTTGAGCAATTGATATTAGGGTCAAGAATTCTGACTGGAAGAGAGTCAAAAGAAGCTTTCTGAAGTGGCTCCTCTTCTGTTTGATATGTGCTTTCATATTCATTTCTCATTAGCCTTGTGGATATCCTTCCCACTTGTGGAAGGACACACGAATACAAACTTTACTGAACTACAACCCTTCTCATTGTTGAAAATTTTCTTCTCAATTTAATGGCAATCTATTACAATTAATTCCAGAAGAAAATATATTCCACTGACACATGGGATGAAAATGCCATTTTCCATCCAAAAATATGTTCTTTTTAAAGTTGTGTCTGTAATCAACATGCTTGTGGTTGTAACATATATTTTAAGTTTTATACTTCTTGTGTGGTTATATGGTTTTTCTCCACACACAGAAGCAAATCTAAAAAGGAAAAACTGCAATGCTTTAAGATGACAAAAATAACTTTTCAAGAGAATCTTTTTAATACACATGTATCTCAAGTTTTAAGAGATTCTATATGCATTTGAAGATTCTGAAAATGCTACCATATCTCCAATAGGTTCTCCCTCACCCCAAATATGTATAATAAACTAGCATTCTATGTAGCCTCTAAATCTCAATTCCTGCTGGTGAAGGCAAATAACTGGTAGCTGAAAACTAACTAATCCAAAAAATAAATCATAGTACTTCTGTTAGTAATCATAATTTATTAATTGCAGCTTTAAAAAGAATCTATTTCTGTGTCTGTGGGAATAGTTTGAAACATGAGGGAACATTTTTATGAAATTGTTAGCACTTATATAATCTACAAACCAGTCAAATTCAAAGGCAATCAGAATTAGAAATTATTTGTATCTTGAGTGGATGCGGTGGCGCAGCAGCTTAATGACTGGTCAGAAATGGCCTGCACTTCAGCAGTTCAAGCCCAGCTTCGCAAGAAGGGGTGAATTCCTGCCACTTGTTCCCCGATTCTCGTCTACTCAGCAATTTGAAACCATGAAATATTGCAAGTGCATAAATGGATATAACTTTAGTTGTGCTGATGTGTGTGGAGAGCGCAAGCTGGTGCTGGACCTGGCTGGATGCGAGGCAATGCAACAGGAGGATGGGGAGACCAGCAGAGAAGCCTGGAAGAGCCAGCAAACCAAGCACTGCTAGTCAGCTGGTGAAAGCTACTTTGCCCCTGTGGTGCAACCAGGATAAACACACAAGTGTTGAACAGAATGAACTAGCAATTAAGGCTGTCAGGGCTGCATTGTGTCTAGCGTTTGTAGATTACTGTACGCCACAGGCTAAATAAATAAATATTTATATTCCACCTTTATTCTTTTTACTAATAACTCAAGACAGCCAACATATCCAACACACCTTCCTCCTGTGAGGTGGGTTGAGCTGAGACAGAGTGACTGGCCGAAAGTCACCCAGATGGCTTTCATGGCTAAGGCGGGACTTGAGCTCACAGTCTCCTGCTTTCTGTTTTAAAGAATACAAATCCGCACAAAAGAAAAAAAAAAAAAGGCAATTCTTACCATCTCCATCAGGAGTACAGCAGAAACAGCAGCGAGCTACCTACAACAGACGCACAAAAGCAAAAGGTTTTTTTCCACTAATTCAGAAACAAATAAGTCAATACTGATATTCCTCAAAATATTTCAAGGAAACATTATTAGTAAAAGGACAACACTGGATTAAATTCACTGCACAGTGAACTTAAAACCAAGCAAATTATTTTGTAATCTTTCTGAAGTACTTTCATTTTCGTTCAAAGGACCATGGTGCCATGATTTTTATACTGGCAACTTTTTCTTTTGTCGATAGTTTACATTAAAAAGAAAAAGCTTGAAATATATGCTTGAAAAGAATGGATTTTGTTCTTAGTTTTTTTTCTTTGAAAGCAGATTGTTTTTTTATAATAGCAACATATAGGTACTCCTTGCTTAATGACGATAATTGCGACTGGAATTTCCATTGCTAAGCAATGTGGTCATAAAGCAAGGCACATGATTGCACCAGTCTCTGTTGCCTTCTCACAGGACCAGAATTTGTGACTGCCTACTGGCTTTCAACAAAGTCAATCCAGTTTGACACCTCTGCTATAGAGTGTGGCTGACTGGTGGAGGGAGTGCTGTGATGCATGACTGCAATGCAGCGTGAGTGCAGCATTCCTTCCCTGATTCAGGCTGTAGAGCATTAAGCATGGCAAGGCCAAGGGGTGCACAGCTCTGTGGTGTGCGACTGCAGTGGAGCTGTGTGCATACGGTTCAAGTGTGGCAGGGCTAGGAGTGCACAGCTTGAGGATAGGTGGACTGGATGTGTGTGTGCATGTCATGTATGAGGACAACTAGTCATCTGCTCACTGTTGTGCAGGGAATCCTTGGGAGAGAAAGTGGCGGGAACAGGAGCAACTTACAACTTTCCTGCTAGTTTCCCTATTGACTTTGCAGGAAGCCAGCAGGGAAGATTGCAAATAATGATGCATCCATGGGAATCTACAACTGTTTTAAGTGCAAGTCAATTGCCAAGTGCCTGAATCATGATCATTTGACTGCAGAAACATTGTGACTGAAATTGTAAGTCCCACTCGCTTTGTGCTGTTGTAACTTTGAATGGTTGCTGAACAAGTGGTCGGTCAGCAAGGATTATCGGTAGTTACCGGTAGTTAGCTATGTAATTTTGTAATATACATATTAATAAGTAGGGTTTTAAAGAAAAGTTAATTTAAAAAAAATGTATAAAATATTTTTAAAAGCAAAGGAATATGCCTCAGTTTTGACAAATGATTATTGCATGGAAGTACATTCTGTAAATGCACATGTTTAATTTTGACAGTCTCTAATTATGTATGTAAGTATGAACACCAAAATAGCAATGTAAAAAGTTATGTTTAGCAGATATTCTGGTCTCAGAAATCCTTGCAAGATGCAGTTAGCAATGTTGCCATGCATATAAAGAGTCCTTCACAATGTGACTAACAGTCATGTTCCGATGCAAGAAAGCCTCTCTATTTAAAAGAAGCAGATGGAGAATTATGTTTACATTTCTAATCAGGAGACAAAAGAGCTTCTGTCACAGGGAAGAATGAGACCTACAATTAGTTGCCTGCTGCTAGTCTTCTCTTTATGTTTCCCTACAATAGTTCTTGTAGTGCTCTTTAAGAGCAAATGATCTAAAAATAATGCTATTATGGTACACTTCAGTACTACATTTCTGAGCTCTCTCGTGCAGCTCGGTCTATTGTCCCAGACAGCATCCATCTGGGCTGGCTCTTGCTTAGCACAAGAATGCTGCTTTCTGGTAGCACTGTCTGAAGTGGCAAACATGGGATGCCACATGTCACAACTTTTACATTGGTGCTAGTCCAAACAAGATGGAAAGGATAATGAAGACAGCAACATTAAGGAAAGCATTAAAATAGGTTAATACCCAATGTCCCAGACAAGACATTGAGGCCTGTTTTGAAATATCTCTTCGAATGCTAACACTTCAGTAGCACCTGCAAAAAGTACCAACTGGTGGGATACTAACATAAAAACAGGTTGCAGATCTTCTGTTAACTCAAACAAGTTGGCAGCAACAGATATTGAAATCTAAATTGTGTTTGCATTTGATTGTGCTTATACAAGCCAGACCAAAATAGAGATGGTTGATATGATAGTTGACTTGCCTTGAAAACATGAGGCAGTACAGGTATGATATCAAGACCCTGAACATTGTGGCTTGACCGCCTTGACATTATAATGCTGCAATCATGGGTGGGATTCTACCAGTTCGCACCTATTCGCTAGAACCAGTTGTTAACATTCTAAGCAGTTTGGGGAACCGGTTGTTAGAAGAAATTACTGGCCTAATCCTGTAAGGAAGGCAGGAAGGAAACATTCTGGTGTTGCTTACAGAAACTGCCTCTCAGTTAATCCTTATTACATTCTTGGCAGGACTAGACTTCCTGTCTCAGGAACGCCTCTGGAGTTTTTTTCCCCTCATTTGCTGGTACTTGGCTTGTGTGGAGTGACAATGGCACTGAAAAAAGTGACTTATGACTGTTTTTCACACTTACAGCATCCCCACAGTCATGAGAGGCCAGGCGAGGAGATGTGTGCCTCGATGTGAGTGATATTGAGTTGGCCACGCCCAGCCAATAACATGACCACCAAGCCATGTCCACCCAGTCACATGACCACCAAGCCACGCCCACCAACTAAGCCTCGCCCACAGAACCAGTTGTTAAAAAATTTGAATCCCACCCCTGGCTGCAATGTATTTCTTCTTTCTCTATATGTAACTCCATATAACATAAAAGGGACTATGAACCACTAATACAATCAGTATCTGCACATACAACCTAGTATAAAATATATTTTCCACCTCTCTATATTCTCTTGTTTTTTCTTTTACACAAATAGCCTGAATATCTGATATTTAGAATCCTCCTGAGCAAAAACTCTCTAGCTTTCGTAATATGTGAAACTATGTTAAAATTTCTAGGTGAGCTTCAATAGACAGTAAATTAGCAAATGAAAAAAATATTTAAAAAGAATAATGATAAAACATGAAAATATACAACTCTCTGTGTGATCATTTATTACATTGTTATAATGTCTGATTCCAAATCTTTCCCTTGAAAAAACACAACACTATAATAGCAATAGCACTTAGACTTATATATCGCTTTACAGTGCTTTACAGTCTCTCTAAGCAGTTACAAAGTCAGCATATTGCTCCCAACAATTTGATCCTCATTTTACCCAACTCGTAAGGATGGAAGGCTGAGTAAATCTAGAGTCTGATGAGATTTCAATTGTCCAATTGCAATCAGCAGAAATAGCCTGCAGTACTGAACTCTAACCACTGCACCACCTTGTCTCATAACCTTATCTTATAGTTATTTGCGACTGTACATCAAAGTAGGGATCACTTTTAGAACAACCAACCATGAAATCTGGGCAAACTACATGTTTGCAGACTTGCTCTCGTTTGGAAGCTTCACTATGCAGATTTCTGTTTCACCAGGTGAGAGGGAAGAGGGCATCATGCCAATAAGGCAACAAGACTTAAGAAAAGGACCATCTAATCAAAAGAGGCCTTTTACAGTTAGCCCCAGCCTACCTTGTTTGTTGAAGCTTCTATATTAAAGTGGCAATTCCTTCAATTTTGGAATGAAAAAAGAATCTGTTTTGATTTGACTTGGTCATCTTTCAAAAGCTAATCAGAGAATGGAGAAAAGGTTAAAGGGAAATGGAAGAAAGTAGGTGTGGATGTCTCACCAAGAAGCCATCTGCTTTTAGCTAAAAACAGGGGTGTCCAACCTTGGCAACTTTAAGACTTGTGGACTTCAACTTTCAGAATTCCCAATCAGCCATACATTCTTCTGGCTGGGGAATTCTGGGAGTTGAAGTCCACAAGTCTTAAAGTTGCCAAGGTTGGACACTCCTGGGCTAGAGCAATGGATTGTATGACAATAATGACTCACTTCAGTTTCAGGTGTTACATATATCCCTCTGAGTGCTTCAGAGCTTGCTCTTGTTGTTGAGGTCAAACTAGAGAAAAAAAACAGAAAGAAAAGATGGTTGTGTAATAATAACTGTATACTGATGTACAAGGGATATTTTCTTTTCCTAACAACATATAAACGTTTTCAACAAGATGCCAATTCCTATGGGATTAAATTTAACATAGAAGCTTTGAAGATCAAAGAGCCTTGATTTATATGAAAACTGCCTCTTCCAAGGAAAGCAACAGAAACTTGATAAAAATGGTCTATTCTAACATTTTTTTCCTTCTGTTCAATCGTATCTGATTCTTGGGAGACTGCATAAGGCATGCATTTATGTTGCTGAATTCTGGGCTCATTTGTGACCATCCTAGCAGATTTCCAACAGGCAAAGTAAATGGGGGAAGCTGGATTCACTTAAGAATCACATGATTCACTTAACAACTGCAGTGATTTGCTTAACAACCATGGCAAGAAAGGCAGCAGCAATGGGCATGATTCACTTAACAACTGCCTCACTTAGCAATGAAAATTTTGGGTCCAATTTTGATTATAAGTTGAAGACTACCTGAACCTTGTATACTAGATGTATTCCTTGACCTATGACCATTTAACGATGGTTCGAACTTACAACAGCTTAAGAAAAAGTTACAATCCATCCTTGAAGTTATAACAGTTGCATTATCCTGTGGTCACATGATCACAATTTGGGCTCTTGGCAATCAGCTCATATTTACAAAAGTTGCTGTGAATTTCCCAAACAGCTTCCGACAAGAAAAGACAGTTGGAGAAACTGGATTTGCTTAAGAACTGTGATTCATTTAACAGTTTCAATAAAAATGGTCATAAAATCAGATCTGGTCCTATGAAGACTTTTAAAGATTGCATTGCTTAGCGACCAATTTTTTGGTCCCAATTGTGGTCCCAAGTCAATGACTACCCATAGTTTTTCAATTATGCCATTTCCCAATTCCTTAAATAAAAGTGTTATGTATGTTTTAATTTGATAGATAACAAGCTATTGCAGAAAGCTGTCAAATAGTTACTCCCCTCCGAGAAGTAAACAGGTATCTGTCTATTGGCATAAAATTGTATTACAGCTGAAATGGAGACTTACCAGGAATATAAAATGCAACAGAATAAAATTGTAGTTCCCAGCCCAGTCACCAAATTTTCATCTGTTTGCAGCCCTTGGCCAAAGTCAGGCACACAGATTGTTGTATTTTGTTTCTCACCTAGGACTTGAAAAAAAGCCTACAATTAGCACAATTAATTTTATATTTCATGTATCCAATTATCTACATATGCTTTAACTTGGACAATGGCATGTTCCCTTCTTTCAAATTCCCTGCATCTCTTAATTTGTGGAAGATTTTCTAAGTCTGTGCAGCTGATTCCTGAACTGTATGAGGGCTGCTGGAGAAAGCAGAATTGATTCCCTCCTTTGATTTTAAAAACAGGAATTATTCCATTTAAAAACAGACATATTACTTTTAAATGTGGAAAATATTATTGAAACTGATTGTGATTTAAACATCTGAAGAGATAATTTACAAGATAAAGTTGCTGCAATTCCTTTTGCTTTAATTAGATGTATTGATATAGTACATCTCACACAAATACATTATTGGTGGTGTTATTGGGAGTTTGGTGATTTCAAGGTGTGCTGGGTTTTCAGAATTGCCAATTAGCATAGCCAATGTTATTTGGAAAGTACAATATTGACAGAAGGATAATTTTATATAGATAATCAGTGCACATGCATATGCTGATTTTTAATTCAAGGTAACTTACTCATTTCTGGAGGTTTGCTTGAAAGAGATGAGAATGTGAGGTACATGACATAGCAGCTGATAATGCCTGACTGTAACAAGCCAGAATGAGGTTGACCTGAAATTTTAAAACAGGGATACATCTGTAGACTTTTCTTTGGTAAAAAGGTTCATACTGTAAATCATGTTTTGTCTGAGCTCATGGACCTTTAATCTTAAATTCAGGGCTCTCTTTCACAGATAGAAGGAGTGCTTTAGCACAAGATTAAAAATTATAATATGACCCAAAGGAAATGATTAAATAATCAGTAGTAGTCATTTTAACAGTAAAAAATAATGTTTTCATTTGCCTCAGTCATTCCACTCATTTCTTAAAATATAGTCTTCAGCAACTCAAAACCTAAGGTTCAAGTATTGCTCTTGATCTGAAGAAGGCTATGAATTTCAGGACTATTCTAAACATAAATAAACAGAAATATAAAAAACAGAAACTTGTTTCTTCACCATTTCTCAATCCCTGAAACAATCTTCAGCTACTACTACTACTTATTTTAATGAAAAATCTGGAGTTCTAGGCCAGTGGTCGCCAACTAGTGGGACGGGGAAGACAGGTGGTCTGCGAGAAAATTTTGGTGGTCCACAGAGAAATTTCACCCCCAAAGCACCCCCAAGCAATTAATGTGGAGTGTGAAGGATGTGTGCTTGTGTTTATTGATGTGCACTGAAGATGGTGTTTGATTTTGTTGTACGAGGTGCAATGACAATAAAGTAAACTAAGTAATCCAGGCTGTGCGGGAACACAACTTTTCTGTAATTTGCAATTCTTACACTGCAAAAACATATGGACTACACAACTCGATCAGGGCAAAGCAATAGAGTCAATTTACATAGACTTCTGTAAAGCCTTTGATTCAGTGGTACTCCTAAAACTAAAATCTTATGGTATCTTTGGACACCTGCATAACTGGATAGAAGCATTCCTGTCAAATAGACAACAAATGGTCAAAATTGGGAGCGTCCTATCAAATTCAGTATCTGTCAACAGTGGTGTCTCCTAATACTGCTACCCTTCAAAAAGATCTCAACTATGTGTTGTGGCTCCGATTCTCGAGCCTGTGCTGTTAGAGGAAGAGGACTCGGAAGATGAGGAGGAGGAACTGGGAATGCCTTCCTCCCCAGGACCTTCCTCTCTGGCAATGCCTTCCTCCCTGATAATGCCTCAGGTTTCATCAGACAACCGAGAGGAACAGCCTGAGATTAATCAGGAGGAAGGCATATCGGAGCAGCCCCTGACAGGGAGTCAAGAGGAAGAATGTTGGCTTGATCCTAAGCAGCGTCGTAGGAAGAAACGTGAGCAGCAACGTAGGAGGCGTGGGAGGGTCAGAGAGTGAGCTGAGTCATTGAGCCACACCCCACAGGGGATAAAAGTGGGTGTGTTGTCGGCTGGAACTTTGTACGGGACAAAGTTTAATCTTGCTTCAGGTTTTCTTTGTGAATGATTTTTATGGTCTGCCTGGTAATTTTCTGGGAGTAGCTTTTTACTTGTTATCAGTTCAGACTTGGCAGGCAGTGTGTGTTGGAATGCCAAGGACATTATCAGTTCCAAAGAATTAACTCTGTGAAGTCCGAGCCAGCTTGCCTGCCTGTGTTTGTGTGAGTTTGTACTCTTTCATCTTTTGGAAAGAAGAAAGGTGAGACAGAACGACTATGTATCAGAATGGTCAAACAAATTGCAACTTCAAATCTCAACAAATAAATTGCTCTGTCTTACATATTGGCAAAAAAAATATATCAGAAAATAAAATAAAAGCTGAATAGTCAAGACCTTGTTGATGATCCAAGCTCTGTCAAGGACTCACCTCTAATGACCTAAGTGCTAGAGCCCACTGTAACTACATAGCCAAAAAGGCATTAAGAATTGTTAACCTAATCCTGCGTAGCTTTTTCTCTGGTAATATCACACTACTAACTAGAGCATACAAGACCAATAGACCAATACTTGAATACAGCTCATCAGTCTGGAACCCGCATTACGTATCTGATATTAATACAGTTGAGAAAGTCCAGAAATATTTCACAAGAAGAGTTCTCCATTCCTCTACTCGTTGCAGTATGCTACCAGACTTGAAATTATAGACCTAGAAAACCTAGAACTATGTCGCCTTCGGTCCAATCTAAGTATAGTATATAAAATCATACATTCCAATGTCCTACCTGTCAATGAATACTTCAACCATAACAATACAAGAGCACACAATAGATACAAATTCAAGGTAAACCGCACCAAACTTGATTGCAGGAAATACGACTTCAGCAACAGAGTGGTCAATGTCTGCAATACTCTACCTGACTCTGTGGTTTCTTCCCCAAACACTTTAACCTTAGACTGTCTACTATTGACCTCACCCCCTTCCTAAGAGGCCTGTAGGGGGCGTGCATAAGCGCACCAACGTGCCTACCGTCCCTGTCCTATAATTTCTTTTTATTTTTCTTATATGTATCCATTTCATGTATTCATAACTATGTTTATACTTATACCTGTTATCTTATAATTGCTTGACAAAATAAAATAAATAAAAATAAAACAAGGCTGCGCTGCCTATATGGCCCGGGGGAACACAAGGCTTGCGTCGCTTACATTGCGAACAAGAGGTAATGAGGGGAGGAGGGAAGGGCGGAGGGGGGGAACTTGCCCCACTTGCCTGACCTGGCCGCTGGGCTCTTCTTTCCGCTTCTTTCTTCTTCTGCTTTTGGTTGCACGCAAGGAAAGCAGCAAAAGTCTTTCTTTCTCTCCCCCAAACTCTGCCAGAAATGCGTCTTTGGGACCCTGCAAGGTTTCCTGCTCCAAGAGGCTGCGCCAGTAAAGACTTATTTCTGGCGGACTTTGCGGGAGAGAAAGACAGACTTTGGCTGCTTCTGCTGCTTTCCTGGCATGAAGCCAAAGTCTCTCTCTCTCTCTCCCCCTCCCTCCCCCTGAAAATGGAGCTGGAAATGGTATCCTGCGATCCCAAATAAAGAATGATCAATCGGTAGGAAAACTGGGTGGGGAAGTTTTCTGCAGACTTTTTTTTGGGATTTTCCCAGGGTCTCTGGTCCTTGGGATTTAAAATTATGAGTTTGGTGGTCCCTGAGGTCCAAAAGGTTGGTGACCCCTGTTCTAGGCTATAAATTCTCAAGTATAATATAGATAACAAAAAAATTCTAATTATATAGTGAATCTTAGAATTGATTTTAATTTTAGTGCATCTTAGAGCTATCTACATAGTAATTAATAATGCATAAATTCCCTTAGGAATAGGACGTAAGAAATCATCTTACTTTAACACATGAATTAAGTATACTTTGACTAGCTATGGTCTACTTCTCTAGAGGAAGTATTTTACCTTGAAGTATTTTATAAGGCCTTCTGTTTAGTGCTTTTTAAGAGTTGGAAGTCAGGGATTGAATTTGGGACAAGCTTCATGGAAAACATGCTCTCTCCTGCTGAGTTACCACCATGATGTAACCTGTCTACCACGGGGAGCTTTACATGAGTGGACTGATAAAACCACCAGTGGATATAAATTGATTCCCTTCCACAAAAAGGTTTCAACTGATATGTCAGAGATCATGGGTGATAGACCAAAAAAATTTGAAATTCAACTGAGTTACTGAAAATCAAGAGATATGGCAGTTAGTAATTCCAGATTTAGGTCTTATGGTGGTCTCTCCATTACTTCAGAATAAATACAATTTTATTGCAGAAAAACGATTTTTAAAATCAAAGCAATAAAATCAACCTTGCCTATGCTTTACAACTACTACATTTTATACACAAAACAATGTTTTGGTTTGCAGTGTTAAGAGGACATGAATAGGCTCAGTTCACCCAGACACAATTTGAGGCCTTTTTTTTTTCTACTACTGGTCCTATGACCTGACCTTCTTTGAGCAGTCTTTTTATTATTTCCCAGATTATGATTTGTGATAAACTAAGGGATTGAATATGGCTAGGAAATGACCTCCAATTCCAAGCAACCAAGTCCAGAGTGACAGTAAAAGAACTTGCTTACGGTTTTGGACACAAGGTGAAATGGCTACCATTGAAATAAGCAAGCACAAGCCACCATTGACACCAAGCAGGATCTTGTTAAATGTACAGCCATCAGCACGGGTATAAAAGACAGCCATCACAACTAGAGCTCCAACAGCAACGGAATACAGTGTGAGAGTCACAAGAGCTAAGGAGCCGTACCAAAGTTGATTGTGCTTTGTGCCAGATGTCCTGTTTGGGGAAAAAAAGCAATTACGCATTACACTTGAATAAAAACAAACGATACTGAGCATTGTGAAGCCCCCAAAGGATATTCGTGCATTAGTCCTTTGTGAAGTGGATTAAGAATTAAGTCTTTATGCAGGAAGGTATTGTTCTTTAGACATGGATGTTCACTTATTATTTTAAATTTACAAGGTATTTAGATTACTGCATTTTATTAGTTTAGTTTAGCTTAGTTTAGTTTATTTATCGTCACTGCACCTCATACAATAAAATTAAATGCCATCTTCAGTGTACATAACTATAAAAATAAAATATACACATCCTTTGCATTCTATCCAATTGAACTGAAAACCCGATAATGCATTAATATTGCACTGTATAAACTATAGTTTGTACTGTGTCTAGTTATACCAGCAATATATTGAGTAATGTGTAACTTACTTCACTCTCAGAGCATGCATCTTACTGATCAGCCTAAAGTTAGGTTTCTTAAACTTTGCTGGAGAGATGGGAAGTAAAACTTGGGAACAGACAGGTGACTTGACTGCTCAGCTTAAAAGATGCCTATTTCTAAAAACGTGTTATGTCTTCAATATTTAAAATAAGGTATGTGGGACAGATATATAGATTAACCTGTGATCAATATGGTGAAACTTTCAAGGCTACAAAAAGATACTGCTTTGTTTTATGCAAATTAAAACAATTGATTTAAGATAATCTAAAGTTTACTTTAGGACAGAGGTGTCAAACTCAAAGCCTATTGGCCAGATCCGGCCCATGGGGTGCTTAAATCCGGCCTGCGGGGCCAGCCTAGAAATATGGAAGGGGTGGCCTGTGGTGCCTCTGTGGTGTCTAAAACAGGCTGCCCCCCCCCGGTGCCTCGTTTTCACCCTCTATGGCCTCCTGCAGCATTCTGTCGGCTGAAAATGGCCCCCCAAAAGGGCTGAAAACAGGCCCCCAAAACAGGTCCAAAATGGCCGGGTGAGTATTGCAGGAGGCTATGGAGGGTGAAAACAAGTGGCAGCACCCCCAACGGATCCTCTTGTGCCCTATTTTGGCCAGCAGGGTGCTGTAGGAGGCATCCATCCTGCCCATGGAGGAGAACTACAATGCTGATCTGGCACTTGAAGGAATCCAGTTTGACACTCCTGCTTTAGGATGTATTTGGAACGATTAAAGATACTTCTAAATTTAGATTACAATAAAAAGATCTAAGAATCTTGGAAAAAATTGGATAAGGGAGAACAATTCAGTAACTGTTAAACCCCATGAAGATTTAGATTTTATCTTTAAATATAGATGTAAACTCTCTTATGAATGTCACACATTTTTAATAACTGAAACTAAGAGAACCAGCTGAAGGAATGTTGCAGCAGGCTTGTTTAGCCAAGTGAAAAGTACTAGAGGCAATAAATAGGAAGTTAGATGTATAAAAAGTCACAAAGGAAGCTGGATAGTTAAAAACAAAGAAACAATTGAAGAGAAAAACTTAACAGGAATGCCTGCTGTAAAACTTTAACACAGATCAATTGTGATTCTGATTGTTTTTAAATTTTAAAAATAGAACTCAGCTAAACAGACACTTCCTCTTATATGCAGGCATGAAAGAAACATACCAGTTTTTATTCCATTTGTGTGCAAATTCTACAAGGAGGATAAGCTGAATGATAATGAAGAGGAAGCCTCCTGTAGCACCAACATAACGCCAAGCTGCCGAAAACATAAAAATTGCTTCATTAATTATGACTCATATAGAAAAATATCATTTTTATTCATTACATTTATAAAGCAATTAAATTATGGTAAGGAGGATACACTTTAAATATATTCACCAGATATATATTCACCACATACACACACACACACACACAGTTTCAGAAAAGCATGCTCCTTTCTAGCAATTACTTCCATGTATTATGGACCTCAATTATTACTCAGTATGGTGAAAATACAGACTATGAATACTAATTATTAATTTTTTAACACAGGTTCCCATTATATAATGCATGAATATTAAAATACTGCATGCGTAACATTACACACACACACACACACACACAGCAAGTTAAATTATTTTGCAAAACAGCAGAAAAAAATTAAAAAAATATATTTTAAGCATTTTATACATAAAACAAAAGGTTAAAAATGCATGAATCCTAAAAAAGTCTTTATAGAAATACATTCCAAATTACAGGGTGGGATTAAAACTTGATAAGTTTTGCAACATATACACATACAGGCATTGGCATCCAAATAACAGAAATAAAACATCTATTGTTTTATGCAACTCTCAAATAATCCTGAGTATATTTCCATCTTCATAATGAAGTTCATTGTCTACTCTGAGTTTATTCACAGGGGAAAACACAGAAATGGACTATCTGTAATAGCCTCCTTTTTGCCTTTAAAATATGTTGTGTTTTGGCCACATTGGCGAAAGAATTATTGCCTTCAATACATTTGGACAGACCCAAGTAATAGAAAGCTACTCTACAATTAACGCAGCTCCTGTTTACGGATAAAATTTGCATGAGTTATTGGCAATGCACATTATGTCACACTTGAAAAGAATTCAAGAAGTGCCAATGCAATTACAGAAGCAACTGAATGCAGGGAGTGGTTGGACTGCTAGAGGAGATTATGACATATAATTTTAGATAAGAGAGAAAAAGCTTTCTGTAGTGAAGGCTGATATTTTTTGCTATGCTTGCATCAGGGGCTCTCCAGATGCTGGGCAATGAACTGAATGAGTAAAGAAATGAGCTAAATTCAGTGTTCAAAGAACAACGAGTCTCAGATTTGAAAAAAGCTGCTCTTTTTGAATTAAATGTCTTAGTGCGAGGATAATATCTTGAAACTTCTGTCAGTTATTCAACTTAAAAGTATAAATGGTTTGAAAAAGGTTTCTGATCATAAGTATCATGTTAAATGAATGAATAAAAACACTGTTAAATGTAGTATGCCACCCAGGGTCACTATCTGTAAACTGGATGGCCATACAAACTTGATAAATAAATAAAATTCAAAAATCAAGATTGTACTACTGCACATGTTCTAAAGCACTCTATTTTCTTTTTCCTCCAGAGTTTGGACTCTGCCATCTACAAGCATTTGTAACTAGCAAATTGCCTTGATTAATTGGAACTGCTATCGGATATTAGTACAGAAGATTCTTTTAGTAACAAAATGGAAGCTCTGCAAGAAATCTCAAATTTGCATAGTAAATGTCATCAAACTGAAGACTAATTAAACTGTTAGAAAGTTTAAGTGCAGTGGCTGCTGGCCTGCCCCATTAGAAAAGCAAATGCAGTTTGATTCAATTGTTATACATCAGGAACTAATTGAATTTCTGTAAGCTACAGTAGTTCAGCTGCACAATGAGCATTGTGGTGACAGGGTATTTCATTTGAGGAACATCTAAACTTTAAAATACTCTTTCCCAGACAGAGAAGCTGTTGTGACTGCAGCTTCCTTGCTAAGGTAAGGCACACTTTTGGAACGGGAGAGGAATTTAAGCTGAAAAAGATCAATTTAACCTTCAACAGATTCTTAGCCTTATCTTCCTTCTGCACTGCAGTGTCTTCCTTTCAGCTTCTGCCCAACTTCCCATGTCCTTCCCAGTGCAAACAAGAAGCTGGCTTTTAATTCCTTGTACAGTTGGCCTTTTATTGTATGACCTCATTTGAACTGTGCAAGATTTGTTCTTGAAAAACAACTTGGAAAAAGTGATGTCCTATTGTACAAAAGTTATTTTAATCTAAGAATGGTTTAATTAGGTAAAACAAAATTATGAAGTACAATTTTACATTGGCTTTGGTTTTTCTTTGAGTTTATGTACAATGTACATTTTTGCAACAGGAACTATCTATGTTCACCAGGTTTAATATTTTCACATTTAATGACAAAGCACTGTCATCTGAACCATTATCTAAAGGAGGAGGAGGATTAACTTACTGTATGCTCTGAGACGTTGATGTTTCTACATAGCTATTTTTCATGATCTAAACAACAGAGCACAATCCAAACAATATACGCAATCAACATAGATTTATAAAATTCTTGTATCGGAGTCTTTCACAATTACTTTCTAACTAAAATGAGCTGAACATTGGGAAACAGCTCACTACATCTGTCAAAAACAAACCCCTTAAAAAACAAAAAATTCTGCAAAAAAAAAATCCCTTAAAACAATAATTTCCAAGGCAGTTTTTTTTATCTGTAACTGTACATAATAGTATGCAAGTTTGATTTAGTCTGCATCCTTCTACAATCCTATCACCCCTTTGTTCTGTCTTTGTCTAGTGTATAGATGCCTATTTCAGTTCATTTTTCCAGAAAGAAACTGGATTGGTATAAAAATGCACCATTCTATGGCTGTTTCAACAGCTACAGTGGTTGTAAAAGTCTGAATTTGTAACGAATATAGCATACCTGCATATCCTCTTAAAAATCTATTAGAAGGCATATCCTTTGGTAAACTGTAGCTCCACTTTTATCAGCTGCATATAGTAGCTAGACTGATGTAGAATTTCAGTTAGGGTAAAGTGGAGGGCGAGGAGAAAAAGGGGAAAGCAGGATGGTTATGCATAAGCAAATTATATGTGAGTTAGATCAGGGGTCCCCAACTACCGGTCCGCGGAACAAGTCCTACCGGGCTGCTGGTTGCTGGGCGCCACCATCTTTTTTTGATGAAAAAATGCTTCCGGTGAGCTTTTCCGGGTAGAAAGCTCACCGGAAGCACTTTTTCATCAAAAAAAGATGGCGGCGCCAGCGCTTCCGGTGAGCTTTTCCGGGTAGAAAGCTTACCGGAAGCACTTTTTCATCAAAAAAAGATGGCGGCGCCCAGCTGATGCTGGTACCGGGCCGCGGCGCCCAGCTGATGCCGGTACCGGGCCACGGCATAAAAAAGGTTGGGGATCACTGAGTTAGATTACAACGGGGTGGGCAATTATGTCCTCTTTATTACCTGTGGACTTCAACTCCCAGAATTCCTGAGTCAGCATGGCTGGCTCAGAAATTCTGGGAATTGAAGTCCACAGGTCGTAAAGGCGCCATAGTTGCCCACTCCTGGATTACAAGTACTTTGTCAATTAACAATTGCAATGGGTCAACTGTATGTTGAAGTTGAAGTTTTCTGAGATTGTCAAACTCCTGGCCTGTGGGCAGGATGTGTCACATGCTAGCCACACCCACGCCCGGTTTAGTGGAGGGGAAGTCCTGCTACGTCATGTGATGCTGTCGTGATGATGTGAGTTTGACACCCCTGGCCTAAATCTTTTGATGTCTGTGAATGAAGAAATATCTTGCTCAATGGTACTGTTAAAGATTTAGTTTTTCTAAAACTGTCACTTTTACAAGTGCCAAATAACCCTTCCACCTCTTTTCCTACAACGTATCACCTGTAACATGATACCTGTATATATTCGACCGTGGAGAAAAACATATGCCAGTTCTTTTTTAAAATGTGTACCTTTAAGAAAAGTATCTTGATCTGGAATGAAAAAGGCTCCTGAGCACATTGCTACCAAGATGAGAAGTTTAATAAACCAAAATCTGGAAAAGAAAAAACAGACAGGAAAAAGAAAAGGAACAGAATTACCGTACCGTACTTTAATATCTGACCAAAGGAAAAAATGTGGATAGTAAATACCAGTAAAACAAATAAAGAAGATATAAACTATGTCATTGTATTGGTGAAGAAATGCAACTGTTTAGCATTGAGTATTCCATCAAAACTTCAATGAAAAAAATCTGTCAAGCTTACCCATTGTGGATGTAGGCACGACAGCTTTTGCTGTTGTTGATTTTAATTGTGAATAAAAAGAAGATGAAAAAGAAACACGCCATTCCAAAACATACTCGATAAACTGCAGAGTAGCCCACCAGCTTCTCACAGGAGTCACCTGCTTGAATATGCTGACATACTGTTTCATAAAAATAAATCTGAAATGAACAATGAAGTACTGTAGATAAGATGCATGTAACTGTGTACGATGATAGCTATATTAAGCAGTTTAATATAGATAATTGTGTTACTTTCAGATTTATCAAGCCGTCATTTTACATATATACAAAATTTAGAAACCATGCTGCTTCTTCATTTGCATTTCCTAGCAATTTATTTCTGATTCATACAACATACTTTTTCAGTATGTAGTTTATACAACAGCATTGGAACATGTCTTTTGGGTATAAGTTGCCAACCTCTGCTATGCAGGTGGTCCTTGTTCAACAGCCACTCCTTCAGTGACTGTTTGGATTTACAATGGTAGTGAATGGGTGCTACGTATGACTGGTGCTAAAAGTTCTGGCTGTTGCAATGACCCCCACAGACATGTGATAATGATCTGGGTGCTTGGCAACTGTCCCAGACTTCTGACTGTTGCAGCAAATCATGGTCATGTGATCACAATTTGCCATCCTTTCCACCATCTTCCCACAAGCAAGTCAAGAGGTCACAATCATGTGAGGTTATCATTTAACAACTGATATTTAATGACAGTAAGCAGGGACTGGCAGGAATGCCTTTGTTAAGTGGCAGAGTTATATGATGGTACATTTTGCACCGTTTAGCACTGCTAGGCAACAGAAATTCCAGTCCTAATTACCATTGTTAAATAAGGACTACTTGCAAAACATTATTTCTTGATGTACTTTGAATGCATAGAAGGCTTTTAAAAGATTACAGAAGTAAAACAGCAGAAAAGTGGGTAAATTCCAGCCCTCTCCTCACTTGCTTAAATATTTGCTTTTGAGGCCACACTTTATTCCACAGAAAAAAAAATCAACAAGTAACCCATTTTGGCCTCAAGCTAATTTGTAGCTACACACAAAAAAAACACCTTAAAAGCACATTTCTATGTCCTTGGTTACATTCTAGGGCTGTGCCTCCTATGAAAATTTGTACCCACCTCTCACAAATGGAACGGTCTATAAATAGATGCACTGATATAGAATCATGTAGACATATACTCACACACACCCATTTACAGTTAAAATAAAAACTTCTCTATATCCTCATAGGTAGGCAGTTCTGAAAGGAGCAACTGAGCTGAACATTAAGACAGCTGGTTTTTTTCCCCCCTTTCCTTTCTTTTTTGGCTATAAACAGAGAGAACCCTTCTAACTCAAAACGTTTTTCCATGTTTAAATTCTGTTTGCAGAAAAACCTGAAAGGGTCTGGAGAAAAATAACACAGAACATAAATTGAACTTAAACTAAATGTGAACTAAGAAAATGTAGATGTTATAGCCAGTTCATGATAGAATGTAATGTAATGTTGTAAATTAGAAGTATTTAGTACTTAAGTTTTTTTTTAAATATAGGGCAGCAGATTCAAACTTTGACTACACCTCCTCCCTCCCACAATGTAAAATAAGTTCTGTGAGCAGAGAGCCAGCACAGTAAATTGTAATAGTTAATGTGTCAGACGAGGGTGAAGGAACACATTCAGTCATGAAGCTCAGTGGGTGAGTTTAGACTACTGTTTCTGAAATTTAGCAATCTGAAGATGTGTTGACTTCAACTTCTAGAATTCCTCAGTCGGCATGCTTATTAAACAGGGAAACAAAATCATGGGTACTTTCATTCACAATTTTCAAAATTATGCGTGCCTACTAATAGCCCAAATGATTTCATGTTAAGTATTAAGGTAATTACAACATCAAAGAGCACAATGAAGAAAAAATTAGGGGATGAAATTAACATTTTAAAAAGATTGGATGGAAAGGCAAAATCTAGATGCATTTCCACTTAGCCAATGTTAGCCAATTATGGATTTGAGAAAGGACACTACTCTGAACTGTTTTAATAATGTCTGGAAAAACTTTTTCAGCATAATAAATCAGGAACACAGCTAATGCTTTATTAACCTTTTTCAGATACAGAATCCTACCACGGTATACCGTATTTAATTGATCAAGAGCAAAATTCATGAGAAGATCAGTCAAGACTGAAACCTATTTTAGTTTATTCTGCACTCTCCCCCTCTCCACACACACACCTTTCTTTGCTTAATCTCACTGCCCTATGAACTGCCAGGAAGGCTTGACAGAGATCTTTTCAAAATCCTGGCTACATACAGCCTTTAATGCTGTAAACTGTACTTCTCAGCACTAAATTGAGAAAATATACTAACTATTAAAAATATTATTATCAAATGTCATTTCCTCCCCACCCCACAAATCCTGGATATGCAGCATGGGAAGATAGCAGAAAACCAAATATTGAAAATCAGCACATTAATAAAATTATGTAAAAAAAAAGACAAGCAGTAGTAAACTATGCTACTCATCATGGGAAATCAATAGCACAGTGCTTCACCAGCAACATTTACGGACAAGGCTGTTTGCCCAATCTGGTCAGCTTGGCTCACAATTTTTTACAGAAAAACTACTGCGGCAATTTTAGTAGATACTGATTGTAGGAAAACCCTTCCATTGGTTCTAGAATAGATGCATCATATTTAGCAACAAAGTCCATAAAAACCTTGAATATTCAGTTTCAGTAGCTAAGGAAGAATCCTCCTGCAGGAACCTGGAGGAATGAGGAAGATTGGGGGTTGTGTGCAGCATTTGTGGGCAGTTATACAGGTAAACAATGGAGGGAAGGTTGAAAGGAGGAGGAAAGAACTACAGTGGCTATAACTTTGGAACTAGGACATAAATAGCTTGGGATTGTCCGCCATAATGTTGAACCTGATGGTAAGGAACTATTTGTAAAACAAGGATTACCTGTATTGATGTTATTTTAATTGTTGATTGGGAGCTGATTGGGAATTCGATATAAGATGGGCAGCTATATAAATGTTTTAAATAAATAAAGCAATAGAGCTTGACTCAAAGGAGACTACTTCAAAAAATAATCAGCGGAGCAGAAACTAAATTACTACAATCTTAGAGGAATGGAAAACAGACAAAGAGTTCCAAGAAAGGATTCATTTGCATCCTCTCATTCAAAGAAGCCAAGCACTCAAATTTCAGAGAGCAATAATTTTTTTGTCTTTGAGGAAACAGTTATCCATTGTATGGCTCTCCCTACTCCTCAACTTTTAAAGTGAAACACAGGATGAAACATTTGGCACTGTTGAACCAGAGTTTGGGGTCTTTCAAAATGTCTGAAAGAGTTATTACATATGAATATATGTTCACACACACACATACACACCTATGTAAAATTGTAGTAAAGTACAACATAAATTATGAGAACAGTTCAGTATTCATCATTATGCCTTCCAAAATTTTACAAAACTCAAGTTTAATATAAAGTGGTTCATTCTGTAAGTTCCCTTCGAATTTCAAAAATATCTTCTTTTCATTCAAGAACTTATTCCAGCACCTCTTTTTTCTCTCCTTGGATCCCCATGAATTAAATGCTTTTACTTACATGTTCTTTCATTTGTTTTGCTACAGTTTTTGACATCATGATGCAAGAGATGAGAGCCACCAAGATGAAGTACAAGGCATACATAAAGCGGGTGCTGGTTGATTGTTTTATCTTTGGGCAACAATTGCAGCAAAGGGAACATGCAGCAGTACCACAGCAACAGGCCAACTACAGGAGTAAGAAAGGAAAAAACATCACTTTAATTTAACATGGCAAAATAACAGCAAAATCTGTTCCACCTCCCATTCCATGCATTTGTAACTTTCCTTTCCCTGTTCTCAAAAATCTTTAATAAAAATATCCTGAGAATTGTAATGTTTTGATATCTTTTTAGAAAATCCTAAATGAACTTTTTTTTTTAAAGAAAAAGCAATAGAATGTCTTAAAAGAGCAAACACTGATATTTATATATGGGCTCATAGCATCATCCAAATGGTTACATTTTATTAAAATAATATGGTTCTACATCAGGCTGAGATAGAATTACAAACTTGAATTCTTTTTTTTTGGTCCATCTTGGGCTATATAAAGTTTGTTTTTAGAACCATATTGGGACCATATTATTGAGACATTGAAAAGAGAGCAGAGAAGAGCAACAAAGAGCAATGAAGATGGTTAGGGGACTGGAGGCTAAAACATATGAAGAAAAGATGCAGGAATTGTGTATGTCTAGTCTAGTAAAAAGAAGGACTAGGTGTGATGTGATAACAGTGTTCCAATATCTGAAGGGCTGCCACAAAGAAGAGAGGATTAATAGGGTTGGAAGGGAACTGAAATGTCTTTTGGTCCAACTCCCTGATCAAGCAGATCTCTATACCAGGGGTCGCCAACCTTTTGGATCTCAGGGACCACCAAACTCATAATTTTAAATCCCAGGGACCACTAATCGGTTCTGTGGGCGTGGCCTAATTTGTGGATGTGGCTTGGTGGTCATGTGACTGGCTAGGCATGGCTTGTATGTAAATATTATAAATATTTATATAAATATTGAATCTTTTTATTAAAAAGGAGCAACTTTTACCCCAAAGCAGGCAGGCAGATTGAGTTGCTCACAGAAACATTCAGTGATCTGTCTGTCATCGGCTACCTGAGTTTGTCACATAAAAGTTGCTTGCCATGAGTCTGCACTGAATAATAGAACCTTCAGCTCCTGGGCTAAGTTATGCTTTGCTCATCCCCTTACCAGCTTTTGCAGCTTTTCAGCCTTTCTGTACAAGAGGACAGAAATCCACCTAGTCTGCTATTTATAGGGAAAATTGGCAGTAGTCAAGAAAGAAAAACAAAATACATTCCTGAGCTGGGATAGTATTTTTCACCTGCCTGTGAACAAATAGGAAGTGAAGAATAATTGTTTTAATAACTTATAGAAAAATCATAATTTGTTAAGGCGCAACAATTCAGTGCTCCGTGCCTGAAAATCTCTGCCCTTTATAAACTTCTGCTACCTCCCACATCATAGAAAGGCAAAACACTTAAATAGTTTAAGCCCATTAAATCCATCCCCCATCTGATAATGCTATAGGCTAAGGCCTTGTTTGTGTAAATGCTGTTTTGTATTTATGACTCAGAAAATTCCACCAAGGTTTTGATTGATCAAACAAAAATCAGGAAGTTTGTGTCCTTTGTGCTAAACATCTAAAACCAAGCATTTACTAATTACCTTCTTGAATGTTTTATATTCACTGCAGTATACAGTATTGTTAATAGGTAAACATGAAAAATATTACTCTTAAGTTGTTCATGCAAATGATTTCATATCTCACTTGGCACCCAGTAATAGTGATAAAATCCTAGGCAAGATGAACCACAATGATCATACTGAGTGGGAGAAACACAATCTACATACAATGGCATAGGAGAGGCAAACTGGATATTAAAATACAGATTAAGAAGAAAGTCACACCCTACAATCTTTTTTTTTTCTTGACTGCCTACAGAAACTGGGATTCTGCTCCAGGGTTTCTCAACCAGTTTTTCAAGAGCAGGCTATTGCAAGTTTTGCTGAAACTAAATAAATTCCTGTCTGCTGAAGGATCTGAATCTTGATTTGCTAAACCAAGTTTGCTACTACCCTGTTTCTCCAACAATACGGCCTCCCCCAATAGGAAGTCCCAGCATGTTTTATAGGCATGAAATGAAATTAAGCCCCTCCCCCCAAATTAAGGCCTATATTAAAACATGCGAAATGGTGGTGGTGGGGGGCTTGCTGTTAGGAAGTACTTTTGTTGCACACCCGGATATGGTGCTGCCTGCGTTGACCCTGATACAAAGTGCCCCACCAACGCCGAGGTCAACATCCAAGCCGTCGCCGCCCGCCTGCCTGAAGATGCAAGGGGGGGGGGGGAAATTAAGTCACCCCCGAAAAGAGGGCCTAGCCATTTTTTCGGGGCTCAAAAAAAAAAAAAAAAGACCCGGCCTTATTATATGAGAAACACGGTAGTAATCTGTAGTGATTCAACCTCTTTTTTTCTTAATAAAATTGAATCTTTCAGGTTGCTGCAATATCTAAATATTAAATAGACATTTCCTTTACAAAACATTATTTTCAGAAAACTCACCTGTGGGAGCCACACCTGCTAAAGTAAGCATGACTTAATCTACATGCAAACTTGCCTCTCACAGGTACAAAGGCTCACATGTAAGGATCTCACACATACGTGTACACACTAATATACATCAATGTTGACTAGAAGAAATAGGAAAAACTTAAAATATTTTTTCCCAGGCAAAAGAAGGTAAGTAACAGGAATCATGCATCAATTTAAATCTTTTTTCTTTGTACTAGAATGAACAGATACGATTTGTTTTCTGTCTCTCCATCTTATGTTTTCCATGAAGAATAAAAAGTTTTTTCATACCATTGTTAGCAAAAACAATACAATACCTTGTAGCCTTTTTCTATCCCAAATGGATCTCTGCTAATTTAGTGTTCAGTGAGAGCGTATGGAATCTTGTCTATTCAGTACAATTCTCAATTTATAACAGTTCATTTAGTGACTGTTCAAAGTTACAATGGCACTGAAAAAAAGTGACTTATGACCATTTTTCACACTTATGATCATTGCAGCATCCCCCATGGTTATATGATTTATATTCAGGTGCTTGACAACTGCCTCATATTTATGACGGTTGCAGTGTTTCAGGGTCATGTGATCACTTTTTGTAACCTTCTCTCAAGCAAAGTCAATTGGGAAGCCAGATTCACTTTTAACAACCATGTTACTAGTTTAACAAATGCAATGATTCACTTAACAATTGTGGAAAGAGAAGTCATAAAATGGGGCAAACCTCAATTAATTTGTCACTTAGTAACAAATTTTGGGCTCAACTGTGGTCATAAGTTCAGGAATACCTGTATTATATTTTATCTGCTCATGAAGAAAGGAAGGACACTCTACTCAAGGTTTGCCAGAGGGTTTCAAAAAGAAAAGGCTGTAAAATAAAGCAAGATTTCTCACCTTTAGAATATCAGAGCAAGGGGGAGAACAGACTGCTCTCTTCTCTCATACTGGAAACTTGGTTTACTGCTTGCAAATATTCAATTTATTCACCAGTTGAGCCAGGACATTTTAATTAAGGTAAATTTAAGCCAGACCCTTATGCAGCAGAAGACACTCCTTTCTGGGCTCCATTTCTAACTGCATACATTTATTTTCTAATGAATACTAACTTGTCCAGTTGTTTTTCAAAGAAACACTAAGGCCAAGGCAAGGTATGCGCTCCTCTAGAAGCATCTGCTTATCCTGTTGTTTTAGTAGAACCCACCCTTTTGGACTGTGACTTTAAACATATGAAAATTACAAAAATTATTGAGACGTGAAAAACGGAAATACTATAGTAGATAGGCAAAAATTAATAGAGTAATAAAATAGCCATCTGAAGATATCTGGCATTCCTTAAGGAGGCATTATGGTTGTATTCCTTTATAAAAACAGAATTAAAAATCACATTTTTTGTTAACATCAGAAATTAAAAAAAAACCAACTGAATTCCATGGAGAGGAATGTGCATATAATAGTCTAAAATTATCAGGTTTCAGATTAAAATAAAACAAAATCAAAAGCTAGTTTAGGTTTACATATGAAGCGTAACTATTTAAAAATGATCAAATTATGAATTCAGAAACATTTAAAATGTTTTCCTTGCTGGGTTTCTTTTTTAAACATAAGCATGTATGACAACTCAACATTAAATCCCACTAATTCAGTGTGTCCTTATTCAATGTAAGATTGGTATACTACTATGAAAATTCAGTAAATGAGCCCCCCCACAGTGCTAATCTATGACATGCCCAACAGCCTAAAAATTAAGCAAATCAATAAAACATGCTTCAGCTACTAAACAAATTAAGTATGTGGTGAATACTTATTTTGTAGATGACAATTGAATGGATGTGACAACAGAATAATCAACAAACCATGCTTTATAAAATCTGGTAATCGGTATTCATGTAATATGCTAAACAAAAAAATAATACATCATATTAAAATTTGGTGCAATATAGCTAAATTGAATAGTGGAATGTTGGTACGCTACCTTAGTTGAACTGAAATGTATTATATTTGTTACTTCACATTTAAGGTAATTTTGTCAGAACTTCATATTGTAAATGAGACATTGGTGTTTTTTTCCCCATAGGGTTAATATACTGGAGTGAAACATGACTTGCTGGGATGAGTCATATCTAATATTGTCCAAACACTGTGGAGCATAACATAGTGGTTATCTATTATTTCTGAACAATCTTGTGTTAAAAATAAAACTTCAATATATTTTGGCCATTGATATCAGGAGCAATTGATAGGATGTGTAATTATTATTCTCAATGCCAAATTCTGGCCCCTATTCAAGTTAGGCATTAAGTTATACCCTACACAATCTCCAACAGTCAAATTTTTGAACCAGATTAATAAATTGCTTTCACTGGATTTCCTGTCACAGCCACTATCAGTAAGATATAGATATCCTGCTAAAATCGATTACATTTTCTCATTTTAGAAAGGAAACCAACAATTCGTTTTGCCTACTTCCAGAGTACATGTGCAACAAAGCCTTATTTTTTTGGGGTAAATGAAATTAGCTAAAAATATTTGCAGGATTGTTGGGGGGGGGGGGGGGGGGAACTGGAGGAGAGTGCTATATATAACGCTTTCAACTCCCACAGGGAA